CCGTGAGAGGGCAGGGGTCGCCAGTCATGACGCGACCGATAATAGGTGCAAGTCCAAACACCGAATATCTTGGAAACTCAACCTAGTACCAAAACCCTCTTTTTCGTTACATCTTCACCTCAACATATCTACCACTTGTTTTCTTTCTTACAAACAGTTTGGCTAATGGTGTATCGCCTACGTTGTCAACTGTCATACTTTATCACTTATCACGTTTCAGATTGTGCTCCAACCCATTACAACATTCTTTGAGAACAGGCCCTTTCAATATCCACCCCGTTTGGGGCTCTCGCTCTCCTCTCTCCTCCCGTTCCCAAGTTCTAAACTGTCGACGGCTTCGATTTCGACATGTCGTCAACAGATTCAGACGCTTCGGCGTCAGCGACCGATTCGGCAACAGGAACAGCAGCTTCGGTCACCAGCTCTATCGCGAGCTCCCTCCTCTCCTCAGCGATCTCCGCCTCCCAAACACTAAGTCCATCTCGCACCTCGTCCGACCGTCCAACAACAACGACTTCAGCATTCCAGGGAGATTCAACCAGCGCTGCGGACAAGGACAAGGGAATCGGCGTCGTCAGTTTCCTCACTGCCGTGGCAGTCGCTGTGGCAGTTTTTGCAGTCCAGATTCTACTTTTCCTAATTCTTCGCAATAAACTGGCTCGCATCTTGTAGGTCGAAACCGATCGTCGCTCCTGACTCCGACATCACTGACTTTTCCCAGCAAACCCAAGACCTACTTGGTACCTGAACGAGAACGAACCGAATCACCGCCTAATAAGCCCCTTGCTATGCTAAAGACATTATGGCATTATGGAGATCGTGAAGTTATCGAAAAATGTGGTCTAGACGCCTATTTCTTCCTCCGCTACCTCAAGACGCTTCTGATCATTTTCCTTCCCATTGGCGCTATCGTTATGCCGATTCTGATCCCCCTGAACTACGTTGGTGGTCTCGGACAAAAGGTTGATGTCAGGGATGATGATGATGAAAAGAATGAAGGCACGCCCACTGGTCTCGACACACTCTCATGGGGAAATGTCAGTCCCAAGAACTCTAGCCGATACACAGCACATTTGATTATGGCCATCCTGGTGGTTATTTGGGTTTGCACAGTCTTCTTCTTTGAGCTCCGGGTATACATCAAGGTTCGACAAGACTACCTTACAAGCGCTGAGCACCGACTCAGAGCCTCGGCTACTACCGTTCTAGTCAACTCTATTCCTGCCAAGTGGCTCAGCGAAGACGCTCTGATGGGTCTCTTCGATGTTTTCCCTGGAGGCATAAGAAATATCTGGCTCAACCGAGATTTATCATCACTATTGGACAAGGTCAAGGAGCGCAACAAAATTCACCTGGCACTTGAACAGGCAGAGACAGATCTGATCAAAGATGCCAAGAAAGCACAGCTTAAGCAGCAAAAGGCAGAAGAGAAGAAACGACGCAAAGAATTGAAGCTTCGATCCGAAACAAAACAAGAAAGAGCAGACCGGAATGCTAAAGACGACGCGGCAGCCCAGCGAATGGCTCAGAGCGCTTCAGGTACGGCGGCTGGCGATCAACACAATGTTCCCCACAGTGTGGATGCTGGTGTTCGTGAGTCTCAATATGAGACGTACAACCATGATCTTGAGCATGAGCATGAGGAGCATAACAAAAAGAGGGGCTTCAGGGTACCTGTTCTAGGTGATCCGCTCGCTAAAGTCGGGCATGGAATTATGGGGGTTGTGTCTAAGGCTGGCAACAACGTGGATGACACTCTGGAGACAACAAATGGTTTCATGGGCCTCTCCAAATCAACAGAACCTCGGACTACGTCTCGAAACTCTGATCGAGTTCGTGAGCGGGCTTCAGTGGACGAGGGTGAGCTCAACTCTCCTTCAGACACTCTCCGGGTTCTGAACAATCAGTCACGAAACGGCAGGGCCTCGGCTGATAGTACCGCTGCCATCAACCCCCAACCAAACCGGGAACATTTTGGCAATCCTGGTAACACTGTCCGAAAGCTGGAGAACATTGACGAAATTTACAGCAAAGAGGAAGCCAAGTGGTGGGAATTCTGGAAGCCACCTCCTGGTGCTTATGCTTCGCCTGTTCCCCAAGGAGGTGTTTCAGCAGCATTCAGGCAGAAGAAGACGAACGAAAGCAAGCCTTTGTGGCAAAAGATCAAGTACGCCCTCCCGTTTATGAGCCCGGAGGATGAAGGAGAGCCCATAGAATATCCTACAGCTTACGACACTGAGTACAAGGAGGATGCCGAACCAGCGGAATGGGAGAAATATCTTAAGAAGAAGGATCGCCCAACGCATCGTCTCCCTCTATTCGGACAGTCCTGGCTTTTCGGAGTTCCTTTCGTTACTAAAAAGGTCGATACGATCTACTGGTGTCGTGAAGAACTGGCCCGCCTCAACCTGGAAATTGAAACGGACCAACAGCATCCCGAACGATTCCCGCTCGCGAACTCTGCATTTATCCAGTTCAACCACCAAGTTGCGGCTCATATGGCTTGCCAGAGTGTCATTCACCATGTACCTAGACAGATGGCCCCGAGAATGAACGAAATCTCACCCAAGGATGTCGACTGGGATAACATGGCGTTTAGCTGGTGGCAAGAGTGGCTACGATCCGGGCTTGTCTTTGTTACTGTTGTTGCCATGATCTTCCTGTGGGCTATCCCTGTCGCTTGGACGGCCGCGCTGAGCCAGCTTGACAACCTTATCCGATCAAATCAGTGGCTGTCTTTCCTCAAGGACAACGATACAGTCCACAATATCGCGAAGGCCGTGGCTGGTGTCTTGCCAGCAGTCGTCCTCGGTATACTGCTGGTGCTGATTCCCATCATTCTGGATTTCCTCGCTCGCTTTAGAGGTGCGAAAACAGGTTCCCAGAGAGCCGAGTTCGTCCAGATCTTCTACTTCGCCTTCTTGTTCATTCAAGTTTTCCTGATTGTCTCTATTGCGTCGTTCTTCGCGGCATCGCTCGATGAGCTAGTACACAATGTTCAAGAACTCCAGACCGTTTCGGACGTTCTGAACCTGTTGGCGTATAATTTGCCCAGTGCTGCCAATTACTTCTTCTCTTACATGATTCTGCAAGCCATGTCTACCAGCTCTGCAACTCTCCTTCAGCTCGGTGCTCTGGTCATGTGGTACGTTATTGCCAAGATCCTCGACAGTACTGCACGTAACAAGTGGTCGCGGAACACCAATCTGCGTCAGGTGAAATGGGGCGCATTCTTCCCAATCTATACCAACTTCGCGTGTATCGGCATCGTTTACTGTGTCATCGCACCGCTGATCTCCATCTTCGCCATTCTTACCTTTGCGCTCTTGTGGTTTGCTCAACGCTATGCTATGCTCTACGTTACCCGCTTTGAGCATGATACAGGTGGTGTCCTGTACCCTCGAGCCATCAACCAGACCTTTACTGGCATCTACTTCATGGAACTTTGTATGGCTGGTCTGTTCTTCCTCGTACGAGATGAAAAGGACAACAGTGTTTGCACACCTCACGGCATTATCATGATCATCGTCCTTATCCTTACGGTCCTGTATCAAGTCCTCCTCAACTACTCATTCGGACCACTCTTCCGCTACCTCCCGATCACTTTCGAAGACGAGGCGGTGTTGCGTGATCAGGCATTCCAGCGAGCCCAGGACCGCCGTCTTGGGCTTTTGGACGACGACGAGCTGGCAGAGGAACGTGATAGCTCCGATTATCAAGAGAAGGATCAACAACCCCAGAATGGTCAAGGTATTGAGATGCGGAAGTTTGGTACCATTCGACGCCCTGTGAAGCAGGTCGGAACATGGGCAAAGGATGGCGGTAACCAGCTCCGCAAGTTGGCCGGTGTCAGCAAGGATAAGGACAAGAGTAAAAGAGCCTCGGAATACCGACGAAAGCACCGCCAGAAGGATATCGAAGCTCAGCTTGCCATTGGCGAAGCTCTCTTTGGTGGTATTCATGACGAAATCGAGGACCTCACACCCGGAGAGAGAGATGCGCTCGTTAGGCACGCGTTCCAGCACGAAGCTCTTCGGGCCCGTCGGCCTACTGTCTGGATTCCACACGACGATCTTGGCATTAGCGACGACGAGATCCGTCGAACACAGGCATACAGCGAGCACATCTGGATCAGCAACGAGGGCACGGCCCTCGACAGCAAGGTCCGAGTTGTTTATGGCAGAGCACCCCCGGATTTTTCCGAAGTTGATTTGATCAACCTGTGAAACATGGTCAATGGCTTGAGCAAGAGGGGGATTTTACGATTATCAAATGATCTGCAGTTGTGTTTTCAGCACTTTCATTGCTGGGCGTTCTAAAGATGGGTTTCATTATAGTTCGTTGAGCCAGTATACACGGCCATTCACATCGAAGATGTTTAGAGAAGGGGAAAGAGGATTGTGGTGCTCTATGTCTTCAGCGCCGATGGGGAGGTTGGTTACTTCATTTGGGAATAAGCAATGGAGCTGGGGCGAAATTCTGATTTCTTTCTTCTTTCAGAGTTGAAGAACGCTTAGTACAATAACAGGTTATTGTCACTTCTATTAAGAATTCTAGTCAACGAGCATGTGAAACTCGCTTTGTTCGAGTCATGCGTCATACTCAAGTTTCACCCTCAGTCAGACATGATCCCAATATTGTCGACCACGACTCATGTCATTCGTGTAAGTGACAGCGTGGTAAGTATTCAGCACACAGTGATGAGACGCCTGCCGTCCAGTGTAACAATAAATGGAATATCAATGTTGTACAGTCTACTCTTAAGGCGCCATGCCAAGCAGGCGATAAAATAGGTATACGCAAGTCTAAAACGCAAGCTCATCCAAAACAAAAAGCTCAGTAGCAAAAAAACGCCTTTTTTCCAATGTCTGTATGTCGTGAACCGTCTAAAATCCCGCACCGCACAGAAAATACCGCGTGTGCCAACAGCGCCGACGTGTTAATTCCTTCATACCTCGTCATCACTCATGCCAGCCAAACCCAGACGTGATAATTTGGGGCTATTGCTTTCTTTGCTCGGATTTCCGTGTGTCTTCGAGTTCTTTGCGGATCATGTCGTTGAAGACTTCGGGGTTGTCGAGGTAGAGATGGTGACCGGCCTTGGGAACGAGGAGAACCTTTGCGCTGCCGTTTTCTCGCTTCTTTTCATCTTCTGTAGCGTTTTCGAGGACTTTTTGTCTCGTTTCTTTGAGTTTCTCTTCTGAAGCTAGACCGCCTGCGACGTCCATCCAGTCGTTTTCTCCGTACATGAAGACTACTGGTATACCGGTTTCTTTGACTGTAGTTCCGTCGGGTTTGGTGATGGTTTGACGGCCGACTTCTTGGATGCGGTCGATAACGGGACGACGAGCGTATGCGCCAGGTGCGAGGATGTAGGCTAGAGCATATTCACCACTACCCTTTTGCTTGAAGATTGAGAAAGAGTAATCGTGGAGAGCTTGTGATTCAGCTTGTGGCAGATGGTTGAAGCGACGGAAACTCCAGCCTGAGACGAATCGTGGGCCGAGAGGACCGCTCATTCGGACGATGCTGAAGGGAGAAATGTTCTGATCCCAGAGCCAGACGAACCAGCCCGGCAAAGGTCGTCGTAGGACGTTTGAAGCAGGTTTGTGTTTCTTGAGAGTACCGTTTTGCTCAGTCGTGCTTTGTTGGTCCTGGGTGATTTCGTTTTGGATCGTTGATGTGTTCGGTTCGGGCATAGAGGCGTTGACAGCGTAGGGATCAGACGGGATACCGACTGGAGAGGCGAGGATGAGCTTTTTAAGTCGGCCGGGATATTTGATGGCGTATGAAACTGCGAGATAACCACCAAGAGAATGACCGAGGAGGGTGAACTGTTCGAGCTTTCTGGCCTTTCGCCATTCTTCTAGCGCATCGACGAACCAACCCTCCGCTTCTAGCACTTGGTCCTCCTTCTTCTTCGCGTGGATCTTGAAAGCCGGTCGTGACGAGTTTCCGCAGCCCAGCATGTCTAGCGCATAGAGCTTGAGTCCCTTCATGCGAGAAATAGGCTCAAAGTTCTTGTAGAAGAAACCGAGACCAGCGCCGTATCCGTGGATCATGACGAGAGCATCCTCCTCCTTTTCTCCGACTCGCTCGACGGTGACTTCGTTCAAGGCTCGGTTCTTTCCGGAAAGATGGACCATTGTTCGTCGCCATACTCGTGTACCGTAAGGGTCAGGTCGTTCGGGAGTATCGATGTTTGTAATACTGTCGTTCGCCTCTTTAAGGTGCGGCATGAGGTTCAACAGATTGCGCTCAACGGCTTGAGGTGCCAAACTCGTCCACTACAGATCGTTAATTTTCACTCCTTGATCATGTCTGGTTACACACCCATTGATACGCAGCATCTTTATAACCAAGTGGAAACAAGAACGCATGCGAAGGCTTCAACTCGGCCTGATGCTTAATCTCCTCTGGCGCATCGGCCACTCTCCCACCATGAGGCGGACGAACGGTACCGTCGGTACTCATACTGCGTGTAGGTGTAGTGGTATTAAAAGCGGTGATTGAAGAAAGTCGCGATATAGGAAGTACCGCAGAAGAAGGTTGAAGTCTAAGCATTCCTTGCCTGGGGGGAGGGCGAGGTTAATATGTATTTAACCTCGACCTCTGTAGCGACACTGAAAAAAACACTTTGGAAATTATGGATGACGCCTCGTTTCGTGACGCAACAGGCACAGGCCGGAGTTAAGGTACGAAAATGTCGGGGTTTGAAACAAGCTCCGGTCCGTGGACAAGTCCGCAAGAGTAAGAAGAGTGAGATTGCGGAGGAATTGAGTCGATTGTTTACTTGTTTGGGTAAGCGATAAAAAGAGGCTGAGCTGAGTAGGCAAGGTAGATATAGAAGAGAACAGATTTAATAGTAAATAACTCTGTAATAGTGATGGAATATCTTGTCAAGGGAAAACCGGAATATATCGGTTTATGATGTACTCGGTACCCGTTGTGGTTCCCCAACGTGTTGGGGCAATCCGCTACAATTGGTGGTACTTGGTAAGTAGTTCCACGCAAGGTCCTACCTAGGTAGGTATTCTTTATACAGGCACGTGACTAGTAGAAGCTGCTTGTACCCTGGTGCAGCTGGAATTTAGAGACTTTACTGTCTCAGCCATCTCAACGACTTGAGAGAATGACCGCCAATGATGGAGGCCGAGGATCGTCTGGGCTTTTTGGGCGTCTTCCAGCCGAAGTGCTCAATCAAATATTATGCGAACTGCACAACATTGACTTGAAAAATCTGCGCCAAACATGCACTTATTTCAAGGATGTCAGGCATCTTCGCCTTAACCGCCTCTTCCTTTCGCCCAACTTGCACGATATAGAGGTCTTCAGAGCTGTTGCTGATCACAAAGCACTTCGGCTCCAGGTCACAGAGATCATTTACGATGATGCACGTTTTGATTCAGCCCATGAAATGGAGTGGTTCTCGTGGTACGACGAAGAAAGGGATATCGGTGAGACCACTGGAGTTCCTGAATGGTATTGTCACGTCTACCGTGAGAATCGCAACATGGTCGAGTGGGCAAAGCCACGCCATCCCCAAGTTAAAGAAGCCTTTGAACATCTACTCAGCCCAGCAGAAGCATTCAAACATTTCAAGAGACTGTGGCAAAAACAGCAAGACACGATTGCCACAAACAGAGACGCCGATGCGCTGAAGTATGGGCTGCTACGTTTCCCCAATCTGAAAAGAGTGGTAGTTAGTCCTGCAGCTCATGGAAAGCCTGGTTTACCCTGGTATCTCACGCCCACTATCAGATCACTCCCACGCGGTCTCCTTTACCCTATCGAGCGTGGGTGGCCTCTTACAAGAAGGCATTCCAACTTTCCCGAAGCGAGAAATTGGGATAGCTCGGAGAAGGATAAATGGCGAGGCTATTGTCTTGTCAGTCGCATCATCGCCCAACATCTACGGGAGAACCCAGAGAGTAAACTTGCCGACTTGGCTATTGATACCAATCAGCTTCGGACGGGGATCAGCTGTCGTATTTTTGATGACGCCGAGAACAGCGAGATCAAAGACCTGAAAACTATCCTAAGCCATCCTGGGTTCGTAGCCCTCGACCTCTCCCTGCACTGTGGCAACCAGTGTAATATGAACTGGTGCTCTTTTCGAAGTAATCATTTGCGGAAGACACTTTCCAAGGCGAGGGATATCCAACATTTTAGTCTATTGACTAATGTTGCTTATGTTGACGACTTCGATTATGACTCTGACGACCCTGATGGAGATGGAGAGGAAGGAGACCACTTTATTCCTTTGCATAGTATCTTCCCTGTTAACGACTGGCACCAACTTCGACATTTCGGCCTATGTCGATTTATTGTCAAAAAGGACGATGTCATTGAATTTCTTGGAGCTTTGCCGCCAACCCTGGAGTCTGTTGAGCTGAGCTTCTTTATCTTTATGCCCGATAGTGGCGACTATCACAGCTTGGTGCACGACATGCGGGAGAAGCTTGGCTGGCGCGGGCGGGACTCAGAAAACCAGCCCAAAATAGTTGTTCGCGTTGATGTTCGACGTTCCAAGATCTATGGCGCTGTGATGATGGATGTCAGCCGGGAAGTGACCAATTTCATGTATGAAGGCGGGGAGAACCCATTTAGTGAAGATGAGGGATGTGTTGAGGAGCCCTATATTCCTCAAAGTGATACGCCTGAAGGTAATGGGAGGCTCTTGGATGCATTTGATCCCAGTTTCGAGGAACCTAATGTTAGCTTGCGGTGGAGGCTTGGTAGAAGCAAGTGCAGTCCCGAGCCCAAGGAAAGAAAAGGCTCCTCCTAATCCGCGTGCAGCCGACGAGGTGCAAAACTGCACTTCTTGGTTCGCTGCAATGACTGGATGGTCAGGTGAGAACCTTCTATTTGCAAAAACATCTTGGAATCGAGGATTTCTATAGTATGAATCCTTCTTTCAAGAGTAACTGCTCTGTAATGGCCATTAGTCAGCCAATGGTCCTAATGAAGTGATTATCCTTTCAATAGGTAAGGAAAGATATAATAAGATATATGCAGCATATTCAAGCATGCATTTGAATCACGCAATTACCATATCGTAATGGAGAAGCTAATTTAGTATAGCAACACGCAATTGCACAACTTAATTATATATCAGCCTCAATTCATATTCTGCATGTATGCTTCCCCGTCCGCGAAAAGGGTATAGGGTAAGCAAGCTCCGAAAGTACCCATTTACCGAGCCAAAGCCAAGCCTACGAGATCTCTTCTTTCTTTTGGCTTGTGATGACGATGGAAGCGGGTCAAAGAAACCGAACCATATTCTCCCCAGGAAAATAAGGAACTAAAGCAAAGCACCACAAGAATCACACGACTCACCCACGTTGATCAACAAAAACACCAACAAAACTCAACTGACTCGCTCAACAAATCACAGCTCGACCTCCCGCTCTCTCCCTTGGGTTTATTTGACCACTGCCGACTCTCTATCCCTCTTCCAGTTGCATGGCATCGAGCTCTCTTTGACCCGGGCTGCCCCTCAGCCTCCAACTCAAAAAATGTCCGACGACGTCGATTCCATCGTCAAGGGCGCCTCAGCTCCTACGCAAGGAGCCAAAGATGCAGCCGGCGCGAGCCCCATCCTCCCCACCACCGCCAAACAAGGCGATCCGCTGCATCACACGCCGAGTTCGCCGTCTATGATCTATCTCAACCTGTTGATCCTCGAAGCTTCACTGCGCGCGCAATTCCTCGAACTACGAGCTCGGAAGCGACACCATACTTTCTTCCTCACGCTGCTGTCACTGTGGATCGCTGGTTTTGGATATGCTCTCTTTCTCGCACCCCGTGAAGACGGCCGTGGTGTAGGTGGTTCTATCTACTGGGCTGTCGAGGGTGCGGAGAAGGTCTGCTTTATGGGCGGCATTATCACTGCGATACTCGTCTGGGCGACTGGGATCTGGGAGCGTGGAATTCGCTGGCCAAGACGATGGTTCGTCATTTCGAATAGAGGACTACGGGGCTTCAACTGCAAGCTGATCATAATACGACGGACGTGGTGGGCCGAAGCACTCTCGACGATTGGATTCTTCCTGACATACGGACTCTTTTCACACACGGCTAGTTCATCGTATCGATACGTCGAACCGAGTCTCTTGCGAGAGGTGGAGAAGGAGCTCCAGATCACGAGCGATACACACCCGACGCTGATACTGCCCCACGAAGATGAGGAGAAGGGCGGTCACGAGGAGGATCTAGCGCCTGGCGGCGACTACGTGAAGCTGCTCCTCCTAGCAAAGCCCTTCTCTGCTACGTTCCGCGAGAACTGGGAGCTATATAGGACGGAATACTGGGAGAAGGAGAACGAGCGCCGAGCCCTGCTGCGGCAAAAAGTCAAAGAGCGCGACAACCAACTCGTCAAGCAACAATACGGCTGGCTATGGTGGCTCCCGGGGCGACAACCGCGGCGCCAGGAGCGTGAGAAGACACCGCCGCGTCACATCGCCGTTGAGCGCGAACGGCGTCGTCGCGGGAGTAGCGTGCGCCGCGCATCCACAAGCTCAATACGAACTCCTACGCCTATCGTTGAAGAAGAAGCTTCTGTTAGTAGACGGCCCAGCAGCGGATCTATGTCAGCGCGGCGCAAGAGGCTGTCGACGAGCTCGAAGCCGAAGAGACCTGGGACAGATTCGAGGTCTGTTACGCCGGATTTCCCGTCGCCTTTGGCGAGGGAGAGTAGTGCGACGCACACACCTGATTCTGGACCTGAGGGGGGAAAGGTTTTGAGGAATTCGAGTTCGAGATCGACTGTTGGGTCGAAGGAGCGGGATTAGGCGATGTAGATGCTGTTTTAGTGTGTATGTTGAGTGGTTGGCGATGTTGAAGAATACCATGGTTCTTTGCTGGGCTTTATTCGACGTGAGGTTTAACGTTTTGTTGATCAGCCAAATCTAGCTTTCCTTCTGAGGTAGCATTGTGTGATTATCTCGGCCGTGAATCACGCTGTGTGAGATGCGCCCCCAACTTTGTGAGGTGTTCGTCGACAAGCATCCTTGTTCGCCGTCTTTAAATATGCAGATGTCCATATTCAGAGTGGTAATCCATCCGGTGGTGATCTATGATAGGTCGATGAGTTGAGATCACAATCAGTGAAGGATCTCACATCTGTCCTTGTTCCCTGTCTAGCTCGCCAATTTGAGTTTATGGGGGATACGAGGTGCAGTGAGTAACGAGTCATTGACAGACGAATCGTACATAAGTAAGGTGAGATAGCAGGATAGCAGGATTATGCAGAGTGCCCGATGATACCAAGGTTCGAAGAGACCTCAGATTGAATTACAAAATCTGCAACGGCACAAGACACTTTGAATGGATATGGGCAAATAGCATTGGTCTTAAATATATCGGTATTGTGATGCGTGAGGAGAAACATTCTAGCCTCTCAACTAGAACCATCACCATCGGTCTAAAGCGTCCCGAGAACGTATCGCCTATTATTCAGAAACCAATGTCAAATCTTATCTCGCGTTCTTATCTCTCACGCTATACAGTACCGAAACCATACTATAAATTGTGGAATAATCGAACGGGACATAGGAATAAAAAACCCGCACCATTGCTCGGCGCCCGTCCCGAAATCGGCCGCTCGGCATCTCCGAATCGATATCAGAAAACAGCATTTCCGCCAAATCCCATCTCGCCTCCTCTGTACCTACCTAGGTATACACCACAAGAACAGTTATATCCAAGCAGGTCAGTTATTTAAAACAGTCTCATGACCCCAATTGCAAAGGAAATGCAGGCTCCAAGTCCCGTGAACATCTTCCCCGCGATATTCAAAGCTTGGCCCATTCGGCCTGTCACCGAATGAATAAAGAAAACGAAACGAAATACGTAAAAAAACCCTTTCCCCGTCCCCATTCCCGGGCTGTATTTCCCAAACCGGCATCATGATACCCGCCGGGGCCCTCTTCGCCGGCGGCCGGTGCCCTATCTACAGTGGAGTTGTTCTCTGCAGTGTCGCTCCCTTCCTATTCCATCGTACAATAGCAACGCTGTGTTCTATAAGCGAAAATCTGGGGTAGATACGGCCAAGTACCGTTATCGCTGGGAGTTAATAAAGTTAATTTATTGTTCACTATCATGGTAAGAGATCATCCGGCCGTAGATAAGGTAGACTAGTATTTAAATACAAGCGTTGCTCTCCCTCTTTTGTCACTAGAGACTGGATCCTCAGAATAAGCTGTGTTTGACTTCCTATTGCCCATCATGTTCTTCAACTGGGACAAGTTTCTCTCGCCAAAGCCGTCTCTAGACGTCCCTGCTCTAGAGACGGTCGATCTCAATGACAAAGAGATGGAAAAGAGAATCGTGAGAAAGCAAGATCTTCGAATCCTGCCCTGGATTTGCATAACATATCTCCTCAGTACGTTTCCCCATAGCCCATCCAAGTCATTCGTCGCTAACAACAGACTCAAGATTACCTCGATCGTGTCAACCTTGGAAACGCAAAGACTCTCAACAATGACTCCCCAGAGCACAACATCGTCTCACAACTCAACCTCACCGGCCAAAGATACAACATCGCCGTCGCTCTGTTCTTCGTGCCCTACGTCCTCATGGAATTCCCCAGCAACATCCTCCTCAAGTACTTTTCGCCGAGTAAATGGATTTCGCGAATCATGGTGTCCTGGGGTATTGTCACCATCTGCACTGCTGCGGTCACCACATATGGTGGATTGTTGGCTGTGAGAATCATGCTTGGACTGGCTGAGGCTGGTTTCTTCCCTGGGTAAGTTGTCAGCGCGACTGGGCGAGAGTGAGTGTGAGTGTGTGCTAATGAGCGTTAGTGTCATGATGTATCTTTGCTTTTGGTACAAGCCTGAGGAGAGAGCTACACGAATGGCCATCTTTGCTTCAAGTATTGCTGTTGCGGGTGCCTTTGGTGGAGTTCTTGCTACGGGTATTTCGTTCCTCAACGGAAAGGCTGGTCTGGCTGGATGGCAATGGTGAGTCTGTCTCAATCCATTCCAACGACACATCTAACGGCTATAGGCTCTTTGTGCTTGAGGGTATTCCCGCTGTCATTGTCGGAGTCTTGGTGTGGTTCTTCCTCCCTGACTGTAAGTTTCTAACCTCGAATCCCCCTGGGATCGTGTACTGATCTGTTAAAGACCCCCAAACTGTCTCTTGGCTCTCCCCCGAAGAACGCGCCTTCGCCGTCAAGCGTCTCGGCCCCTACGCCCCCTCCATGAACGACAAGCACTGGGACAGCAAAATCGCCAAAGACACAGTCGTCGATCCCTTCTTCTGGCTCTTCTCCATCGCCTACTTCTTGATGGTCAACTCCCTCAACGCCTTCGGCTACTTTGCTCCCTCCATCGTCTCATCGCTCGGCTTCGAGGGCTACAAGGCTCAGCTCCTCACTGTCCCTCCTAATGTTTTTGCAGTGTTTATCATTGTGGGCAATTGTATGCACAGTGATAGGACCAAGGAGCGCTCGAAGCATATCTTGGGTGCCCTGGCGTTTGTTGCGACTGGTTATCTGCTCCTTGCTGTTGTTAAGCATTGGGGGGTGAGATATTTCGCTGTTTGTATTATTGCTTGCACCAACTCTGCTATTCTTCCCTTCGTTGCTGTAAGTTTACTTGCTCTCATCACTGGTTACATATACTGACATGAAATAGCACCGAACTGCTACCGTCCGAGGCTCAACTGCTACTGCTCTCGCAACAGGAGGAATGATCGCCATCTCCAACACAGGCGGTATCACAGCACCTTTCCTCTTCCCCTCCAGCACAGGACCCATGTACTCAATGGGTAACTGGACAGTATTCGCAATGCTCTTCGCCGCTGCTTGTATCACTGGCTACTTGTGGTATGTGTTTGGTGCTCACAGTGGTTACCGAACTGGCGATGCCACCGAGACTGGACACTTTGAGGTTCTCGATGTCGGTGACAAGGACCCCAACCAGGTCATGGACCAGGCTATGGAGAATGAGAAGGCCAAGGATAAGATTAAGGCTATGGACATGGCCTGAATGTTTGAGACAGTTAAAAGTTATGATTGATGCAGGGGATACCTGGCTAAAGATATTTACGTTGGACCGTTATTCTGAACTGAAGTTTCGTCTGAAATGCACAAGGAATTTGCCATGGTGAAGATAGATTGCTGAGTGAACGTGAGTAGCTCGCTTCCTAAGACTTTGAAGATATTAGGATGAGTTTAGGACAAATCCATAAATTCTTCTAATATTTATCTCAATTTACCTAACTTATTCCTAAAATTTTAACACTCCATACAAAGACAGCAAATTCGATGAAACCTTACTTACGAGTTGTCCATACATTGCGCTTGCCTGTCTTATACACTTTTGCATCTCATAGTCTAAATGATTTACACTTTCCTATCATGGGGACCTTTTAAAGTGAAGTACAAGGCAAATCTTTCCCTCTTGCTTTATTCCTCTACCCCAAGATCTATCAGCTATATTCAGACCCCAACAACACAAAGGCAAGCATGTCATCTAATCTCGGACACTCGATTCGTCTGATGCTCTCATCGAGTCTCCGTGGCGACGGTTCGATCCATATTCGTTCAGCACCGAGCAAGGAATCTACATTGCTGCTTACCCAAGATGAGGCCCATTATGCGGACGATACCGAAGACGACAACGATGATGAGGACCATTACGAGGACTATGGCAATTACGAGGACGATGCTGAAGACCAGAGTCACTCTGACGAAGGTAACATCGAGTTGAAGAACTACCTCGACGACTTCGCAGATACTCTCAACAAGTCAAAGAATGACTCCGAGATTGCTGCAGCCTTCAACGAGAAACTGTCGCAGATGGTCTACGGCTCAAACATGATCGAGGCGGTCGGCAGCAGCCTCGACATCACAAGCGAGCTCTGCCGAGATATTTTTGCTGGAGGGATAGACGTAGACGATATTGAGATCAGCGATCGTGATCCAACTTATCAAGCTATCCGAGCAGATCTCAGTGAGAAGAAGAAGCCCAATGCACATGGAGATGTGCTCCGAACCCGACGTGAGGTTATCCAGCACGCAAAGGCTGCGTACTTCATTATGAACGAAGTCGCTATCGAGGGAAAGGACATGTCGGAAGAAATTATCTTGGAAACGCATCGCCTTCTGACATACAAGATTGACAGTCCGGATGGTATCCCCTCGAGTCAGTACGGAGGCATTTATCGAAATTGCCCGGTTCAGCGAGGCTTCCACTATTTCCCTCATCATGCTACAGTCCCAAAAGCCGTTCGAGATCTGACAGCTTCTCTCAAGGCTGATATCGCAGCAGCAGAGGAGAGCGGAGAGATTGACCCTGTGGCTCTAGCAGCCAAATACTGCCATAAATTCGTCAACATCCACCCGTTTCTTGACGGTAACAGCCGTACAAGCCGTCTTATCCTGAATACCATTCTCCTCAAGTATGGGGGCTGCTTCGTTTGGTTCGGCAAGGATGCAATAGAGCGCGATGAATACATGAATATCTCGGCAGAGGGTTTCGCTGCTGAGGCGATGGATATGCAGGAGGATGTGGATGATCTACCGGAGGGCTTCAAGCCCAAGCATCACAAGAAACTCGCCACGTTCACTCTGAAGCATGTGTATAAGTACTTTAGCATATTCAATTGATGCTTGTTAGGCTCCTTTGATTATCATCATAAGTTTAGGAAAGTATTAGATAAAATGAGTAAATTCTGCAAAACTTAGTCTATCTCTTGTTACTCTACACAATCTTTACCTAAGTTTAGAGTAGTCTCCTGTGGGATTAGGTAGGTAAGGCAGACCAGCCTAGGCATGTTTAAAACTTACAATATAGCCCAGTCAATAGTCTCTGGTAGTAAACTCTTATACTAGGTAAGGTCCGGTATTGCTAAAAGCCTTGGAGGGCCTTTGACAAGTTTATAAAGCTTTGAGACATCAGTATGATTCTGTGTAACTGGAGTCTATGTCTTTAATGGGGTAAAAAGCCTACTCTAGAAAGGAAAGGGAAGATCTGTTCAGTTCAGGCCGGCATCTCGAAGGAATTCACGACAGTCGGCCCATCACCACCGAGGACCCATTGAGTGCCTCAGCAGATTACAACAAGTGCCTTACCCACCAAATAGACAAAGTACAGTTAGGTGCCTGACCCCAATCATAGCAGTAATTATAAATTTGGCCGCCTTCTAAGATAAAGTAGCAAACACCTGCTCTAGCCTCTAAAAAATTCCCCGACTAGCCAAAGCTACAGCGTCGTAGTCAAAGAGTCATGACACCGCCAAACTTCAGATTCCCATGGTCGCAACCTCCACGGAAATAAATGCCGCGACGGTTAGTACAAAGTTAATCGAACAGAGTTTGGCTGACACAAACTTCCAACGCCGAATCCCGGCAGCGGGTAAGTGGCTTGGAATGAACGTTGCCGCCATTACTCATTCTTCTAGGAGTGAAAACAGTCACAGAATATCATGTTGATGAATATGTATGTATCTTTGTTGTAGGTAATATGTAGTGTTGTGGTTTCGTAACACCGGGTATATATAATAATAATAATGCGTATGTGAAGAAAATACTGTGTTGAATGGTCGTGATGCCCTGTCCTGATTAAAAGCCTCGTGACGCTAGATGTATTTCTGATGAAGATTTCGATAATCCCTCACTTTCGTAATGATGCCCCTTTGACGTCCCGATCGTAGATTCAGCGGATGACTTTCCGCCCATACTCATACCGTCGTCTTCTCCTCTCTCTTCCCGTTGAACGATGACCTCAGTAGTCATGACAACCTCATCATCACGGGGTGTTTGACGAGGAGTCTGTCGCTCATCACCGCCCATGACATAAGCTCTATACGATATATCACCAGGTGGCTTGTCAACATTATTGCTGATGAATGTATCAAGCGCGATGTTCGTCTTGTTTCCTGTCGTCGTACCAGCCGTGTGACTCCGTGGTCCCGAGCTAGCATCCTTGTTACCCGTAGTCATCTCAACGAGACGGTTGAGAATAGTGAACTCGAGCTTGAGTTTTGTGCTATACACAAAAGCTTTGTACGATGTTTGGTACTGGTACTGATCGGCGTACTCAAGGCCGAGGATGGTGATGTCGAGAAGAATGATGAGGATGTTGACGTAGACGAGGTGGTTCATTAGACGACGACTTCCACGCTTGTTGCCCATTGTGCGTTCCAGACGCATCAACTTGACTGTTTCGTAGATGTAGAAGCATGATATGATGATCTCTTGTATGAAGAAGACGGTGACTTGAATCTTCTCCATGATGGAGTATGGCTGCTTCCACATATCTGTATTCGGTGAAAATGAGCCGTAGATCATGGGAATGACAGCTCCATGCATAAGAACGCCGTTAACAATAATCATGTACAGCACAGCCTTTAGCTTGAATCTATTCCTCAGAACAAGATGTAGTCGTGACCATAGAACGAGCGACTGGCCCGAAACCATGGCTACCCATCCTACTGAGATGAACGTCGAGGCTAGATATCCTAGCGCTGAAGAGGCGTAGTATTTGGTGAAGAAACCACAGCAGTACACCGCAATTCCCCATGTTGAAACGAGGAATGACCAGAAGTACAGACCGGAGTGACGCTTGAAGGTCCCAAAGATGATGAAGTTGAGCTCAATGACGTTGTAGAGCGATATGGCAAGGAAGACGAGAACGACGGTTATTGTGGTCTGGGATATGCCTTCAAGGCCTGATCCAAAGCCGTTGTCGGCCATGGCTGTGAGTTATTCTCCAAGGGAATGAATGGTAGGCCGTTTAATTCTGAGAGGAGGACATGAGGAGATATAGAATGAAAAGAAGACAAACAAGACTTTTCCGCATGCATCATCCAAGTTTCCCATGTCTTAGGATCCTCTAGTCTTATTATTAGACGGTTACAAGCTTTTTTGACCGCTACGTAATATAAATGGGAACAAAAACGGTGTGAGCACGGGTAGGCCTCATCGCAAACTCTCACGAATCGGAATCGAAAAGAGCGAGTCAGGTCCCGTGCCGATCTTGGTGCAGATTTGTTACTCGACAGGGCTGATCCCATCTCCCATCCATGGGATTGGGAGAGAGACAAGGTTTGCGCTAAGTGGACTGTTGTAGATCATGGGGGATTCTGGGGTTAGTGGGGAATATGCCGTGTGAGGCTTGCTTAGTTATTGGTAGTGAGGATTAATGGGTGATGATGGAGTGGTCACAGTGGTGAGAGAGTTTTATCCCTGATGATCTGGCTGAGATTTCTGGAAGAACTTTGTTGAGATTTGGCATTGGTGATGATGGGAATGGAGAGCTTGGTAGTATCAAATTCTGTAAGTCTAGCAAAGGATATCTCGCTTACCACTGCAGGACCTGAACCATTCTCTATATCTCTCTCTAAATCTGATAACACGTCAAAGACGAACCTCAGACCTCAGCCAAGCTAAGAATCCTCTGCCGATCACTACCGCCAAACAGGAAGCTATACAAAGCACTTGATTCAGCCACCTCAACCCCAGACCACTTCCCCGCGATATCTTCAGCTCTTGGCACACTGGGACCTTTGCGAGGATCATGACAAGGATTCTTACAAGACATGGTTTGAAGATACCTTGCACGCAATTTTAGCATCTAAATTGATATGCAGCCTCGTGTCAATGAAGTGCATGAAGAATTTTCACGTGGAGGAGGAAAAAGCAAAGAGTCAAAGCCAAGGATCTTACGTGCAGATAACTTCTCGAAGATGCTTCTCTCATTGTTCAATTTTTCTACCTCGATGTGAAAATACAATGATCGACGACATGCTTCCACTACGGAGTACAAACTCATTGTTCAGGGGAACTTCACTCACCTGAAGACCCCAGCCCCGGAAACAGTGTCTACCGGGAATGCTCCCATCCTATTAGTCTACCGTTATCGGTGGCTTGTCCCCTAGCGTCGTCCGCCCACTCCTAAAAGATCTACATTCCGCTCCTCGTTTCAGCTTCATTCCATTTAGCTCACGATCGGAACGGTTGTCCGCTTCCCAGGAACCGGTTCTGGCACTATTGTTTACTAGCGAGGACAAGACCAAGATCATCGTGCTCGGTCCCTCGATTAAGACGACGATATGCGGAGTTGATGATCTCTGTAGGAAGTAGTTAAAGCCGACATGTCAGCATGTGAATGTAAGCAGATTCTTGCGATTTTATTCGAGAATGACTCGTCGTGAGTTTAGTTGTCTCTAGGAGTATCACCGTTGTGCATGATCTGATGCCCCTGGTGTTGATCACAATGCAGATCCGGGGAAGAGCTCCAGTAGTGTGAAGCACATACATTGGATTCAGTGATTGGAAGTTACTTTCTTGCTAATCTTGTTCGACTTTGCTTTGAGCCGATGTGCTGGGTAAGAATGGACCTTTGTTTGACCGAGAGCATCTGTGCGGGTTGCAGAATGCGCGTAGCACAGGCTGGATTCAATGACCAAACACTTCAGACTTTGGCCTCAAGTAAGAAGATCACTTATGCAGATTTAGGATAACTTTAACTAAACCCAATAGGCTTGTTGGCCAGCTTGCTTTGGACCCCTGATTCAGAGTCTTGGATCTGTGACTCCGAGGACTGGGTGCAGCTGAAGGGTCGTTCGAAGGATTTAACAGATGGTGTGTATTCCCGATATGGAATTCATACCAACATAACATGTCAAGCCCTCGTCTTGGCCACTAACCCCCTCAATTCACTTATTGTGCTTGACCATAGCATCAACAACAACCCTCTCTTCCTCCCCCTCAACCTGCACAACAACACTCCCAAGAACACGATACCCCAGCTTCAAATACAACCCCTTTCCCATAGGCGTAGCCAACAAGCTTAAACTCTTGCCATACTTATCTGCTTCTTTCTGTCCCCATTCACATATCATACTAGCTGCTCCCCTCCTGCGAAAGTCAGGATGTGTAACAACCTCCCATAAAGGAATTTGCTCTGAACCGAATCTCTTAAAGTACTTCTTTAGACCGGCTGGAAGAGCCTTGGCGTAGGCTTCCATGTGCTTTTTGTTTACGTCGCGACGTTCGTTGATGCCATGATCTGTAATTGTTAGAGAGTTTGAGATAGAGAGCAATACGAACCTCCTGGTATAAAGTCGCTTGCGACTTTCAAGTCCCATATTCCGTACGAAATAGGCTGATGGATGACTTCTCCATCATCAAGCACTGGTGCTGTAACTACCAGGATGACTAGTTTATCAGGTCGTTGGAATAGTTCCTCGTGCTCTATTCTCGTCCACTTCCAGAAATCCTCTGGGTACTTATCACGGTACGGAAATCTGTAGTCAGTTCCTGGGTCATCAGGTGATCCGTTTACGGCTATCCAGGTTATGTCATCCAAGTCAACTATGGTCGCGCGGCGAAGCGTCAGAGGGTCGTTGGGTATGGCCTTTGATGATGGGCTGATGGGGCCTCCACCCATGATGTGAACGATTGAGGGAACGATGAACTGGTAGAAAAATGTTGGCGTGTAAATGGAGAAGTTGATGGTATGAAATGTTTGAGGATTTAGTTCTCAGCGGGGTATAGAGAGTCCTTCTCAAGGGAAGATCAAGTCTGACCAACAATTCCACTAATGATACGGGCCTTCGTAGTTCTGACGTCGTCGTTATCGGGGTAATAAGCCTCGTGTTTATTGGATAGAGCGATGTATTCTTGAATGTGCCTCTCTTCTGCATAAGACTGAGATCATGACGTTACCTGATAAGATCATATACCAAATGTGACAGAAGATTAGGTTAGCAGGGTAGCGAGAGATATTGTCACAGCTAACATTGCATCTACCTACTAGGTAATGATCATCAATATATTGAAGGATATAAAGTACGGTTTATCCTTACTTCTTCTTTTTAAAAATTACTTCTTATATTTAGATTATTCATATATAATAAAATGAATGTTTCTTTTTAAGACAGTTGGTGAAGTTGATGATTAGCTCGCCTTTTGAAAGAGAATCTGATGGTTTCTGGTCCAATAGACACTCGTATCAAAGCCATTGTTTCGCGCTTCTTCGGTGTAATTGAGGTTTTGATTGCCTTGTTCGCCTTTAATAGATATCGTCCTGACTGGCGGAACATATTCGCAGGAACAAGCCTTTGTCTGCCTTGAGGCTCTCATTGTTAGTCTGAACAGTGAGCCTCACATACCAGCACAACCTGTAAGTGAACTCAGTCATCGTTCATAGAAGAACTTTTCTACACAATGCCACAATCGCAGAATACCCTAGTGTCAAACAAACAGCTTCTCTCATAAATACGTATTCGAAGCCCAAGATGCATCTCTCAACCTCATCCCTCACCATCCTCACCACAGCGCTATTCAGGTATCTCCTCCCAATACCTGGTATAAAACATGCCTTCCTTCCAAAACATCACCTTCGGAGTCGAGCTGGAACTCATGACCCCCCTCCCCGACTCCCGCCGCATGTGGCGCTTCATCTCCCCCTCCGCAGCATCCCGCTTCAACATGGCAGACCTCCTCGCAAAGCGAACCTCCCTCCCCATCGCAGCACAGTGCTGTCATCCTTCAGATGGCAGATGCACTATCTGCGCGACAGTCCCCAAGGAGAACCAATTCAGCGGTGACTGTGTGCTGCAGTTCCCGGAGATATTGTCTTACGAAGAGGACGTCTCGGAGCGTTGTTTTATGTTCAAGGGTGAGTTTCTGGAGTTCGCTCATCCGTTGAGTCATCAACGAGGCTGGGATGGTGTGGAGATAACCACGCCTGTTTTTCATGCTGGTGAGTTGGACAATGGACTTGATACTATGAAGACTGCTCTGACGAATCTTCGGCAGCTGGGTCTTGAGATCTCTGCTGATGATTCATGCGGTATGCATGTCCACGTTGGTGTTGAAACTGGTATGACCATTCTTCTCGCCCAAAAGATCACCACCCTGGTAATCCTTCTCGAGACCACCCTTCTCCTCCGACTCGTCGCGCCTCCACGATGGAAGAGTGCTTTCTCCCTGCCAATCTGCGAAAACTCATCTTTAGCAATGGACATGGATCTTCACAAGCCCCTCGAAGATCCCACCGCACTCAACCAGCATGTTCCTTGCATGAGTACCATGAAACCAGGTAAGTGGAACAACTGGTATCCCAAGCACATCTACAAGATGCTCTACGGTGTATGGGGCAGCACAATCCTCGCAGATCTAAGTCTGCGCCTCAAAAAAGCACGTATGAACCGCTGCGGCTTCGCCCTGTCTTTACGAAATCACAAGGTAAGTGGTGCAGAGAATCTCGAAGGGTCTCCTACGACTGTTGAGTTTCGATACTCGCAGATGACGTTTGATCATGAGCTTTTGAGGAACTGGACTGAGATTCTGGCGAGGATTGTTGTTATTGCTCAGGGTGATGCGGAGGAATTTAAGAGGTGTGTTGAGGAGATTATTAGTATTAATGGGAGGGATGATAAGGATGTTTGGAAGGGGTTGATGACGGATGTTCTTGGGTTGGGACATCGTGTTCCGCAGTGGGAGGAGCAATTGAAGTATTTTGAGAGGGGTGAGTATGTTTCCCATCTTGATGATGAGCTTCTACTCAAACCTTTTTGATTGCTAACCTACGGAGCGAGTTGGGGGATGGGTTTTGCAGCTGGCTGATGATTTGGGGATTCAGGTAAGTCAAAGGTAAGTCGACTGACAAACAGGTGGTTGTTTACGGACGGAATAACATTGGTGACGTCAAAATAATAATACAAAATGCAATTGTTTCGCATGTATTCACTTGACATCGTGATTTAAGGTAAAATGTGAAGTTTCGTGAAACGGTACAGGGTATGTTGATGCCATCACGATCTCAAAATGCAACCCACCCATCAGCCTAAGATCTCAGATCTATCTTGGCAAATGCTTGACAAATAAAATATCCATAAAAACATCTTCAACAAATCCTTCCACCCAGATATTCCCTATCTCCCTATAAACCCTCAGTTATTACCGTCCACATCCCGAGATGTCAATATAAATCGCCGATGGTTGACGTGGCTGTCGTGATGTCATGTCTCAAAGCAGGGCATCATGAATATCCCCGATAAGCCAATCATCGTGATTTGAATGGTAATCGACACTTTTCGATCCCTCGACTCTCAAGCCTTGTTCACCGCGTCATAGACAAACCTCACAAAGAATGAATGTCGGATCTCGATGGGGCACTGGATCCATGACGGGATGAACTATCCGGGGAAAACGTGGCTTGTATATAAGAGTGACCTCCATCGTGAAATACCACAGTGAAGCTTTGAGTCTAAGATCCTTTAAAATTCACGATATCTGTCAAAATGGCGCCTTCAGCAACAGACACCTCCTTCGCAGCCCACGTAGCAAACCAATTCCGATCCTACGAATCAGACCGTCAGGCCACTTCCAAAGAAACCCTCTACACCACCTCCAATGGCGTCCCCATCGCGCATCCCTACGAGACCCAGCGAGCCGGTGAAAATGGCCCTCTTCTCCTACAGGACTTCCACCTGATCGATCTCCTCTCGCACTTTGACCGTGAGCGTATTCCCGAGCGTGTTGTCCACGCAAAGGGAAGCGGTGCGCATGGGTACTTTGAGTGTACGGACCCGTTGGATGATCTGTGTCTGGCGGATATCCTGTCGGAGAAGGGGAAGAAATGTTCGGTTAGTATGAGGTTTTCGACGGTGGGTGGTGAGTCGGGATCGCATGATATGGCGAGAGATCCTAGGGGTTTTTCGGTCAAGATGAGGACTGATGAGGGTGTAAGTGATCCGAGTGAAATGCGGTGGTGAGGTGCTGACATGTGTAGAACTGGGATATGGTCTTCAACAACACGCCTGTTTTCTTTTTGAGAGATCCCGCCAAGTTTCCTCACTTTATTCATACTCAGAAGCGAGACCCAAGTAAGTTATTTATAATTTAATTGTTGTTTATGATCGGGGGCTAACAAACAAGGCACCCATCTCACCCATGCTGACGACTCATTCATGTTCTGGGACTATCTCTCCCAGAACCCCGAGTCAATCCACCAAGTCATGATCCTCATGGGTGATAGGGGGATTCCAGCCAATTATAGACAAATGCACGGTTACAGCGGACATACTTTCAAGCTCATCAATAAGGCTGGCGAATGGGTTTATTGTCAAATCCATCTGAAGTCGATGCAGGGTGTTGACTTTGTCACCCAGGAGGACTCAGCTGAATACTCGCCAGACAACTCACAGAAGGATTTGTACGAGGCTATCCAGAATGGAAACTATCCCAAGTGGACTCTTGAAGTTCAGACAATGACCCCCAAGGAAGCCGAGGAGTTGTGGGAGAAGCAAAAGATCAACGTCTTTGATCTCACGCACGTCTGGCCTCAGAAGCAATTCCCTCTCCGAAAGGTCGGAGAGTTCACTCTGAATGAGAACGCGATCAACTACTTTGCCGAAGTTGAGCAGATTGCTTTCAACCCTTCGCATCTTCCTCCCGGTGTAGAGCCATCGGCTGATCCCGTTCTCCAATCCCGGCTGTTCTCGTACCCGGACACCCATCGCCATCGTCTCGGTGTAAACTACCAGCAACTCCCCGTCAACGCGACACGCACAGGTTATCAGTTCGGCAACTTCCAACGCGATGGCCAAATGGCATTCTATAACCAGGGCGCACGACCAAACTATCTCTCCTCCATTGATCCTATCAAGTTCAAGTCCCGCGCTGTGGATCTTGATAAGACCCATGGCCATTTCACTGGAGAAGCTATTACGTTCCTCACCGAAATCCGACCAGAGGACTTTAACGCCCCTCGCGCACTTTGGAGAAATGTATTCGATGAGCCAGCCCGTGAGCGTTTCATCAATAATGTCACGGGCAAGATGAAGCTTTGCAAGCAGGAAGAGCCTTTGAAGCGACAGATTGCTATCTTCCGGGAAGTTGATCCTGAGATTGCGGAGCGATTGGAGAAGTCAACTGGTATCAAGGGATACGATGGAATTGCCAATATGGCGTTCAACGGTACACATAACGGCATGGCTTCTGGAAAGAGTAGCAGTGCCAATGGAATTGCGGATAAGAATAAGAGTCCTGCTGCACGCCAAGGTGCGCCTGGTTCTGGGGCTCATGGCAGTTTGGTAACAAACGGAAAGTCAAACGGTGCAAATGGACATTAAATAGTTTTCAGTAGCGTCAATATCATCCTCCCTCAACAAATCTCATCCCAAATCCATCCTCCGTGCCCTCCTCCGTGATCTCCGTATGTTCCGTCGCCGGCCCTCCTCCGTGTGGGGCCGTCCCTTACTTCGCCTCCTCCTTCACCTCCGCCCTAGGAGCCTGCCAACTACAGCTCGGGGGCGCACACGTCTCAGCACACTTGACGCACGCCAGCTCGCTCTTCCTGAAGCTCCCCTTGATGATCCTCTTGTCGTCAAAGGCATATCTCGGACAGTGCATCGTGGGGCCCGCGTTCCGCCCGAACAGCCGTCGCTGGTAGTCGCACGCCGAGCCCAGGTCGTCCACCGCGTAGAACATGTCGATGTAGTGGAAGGCCTCGCCGCCGATGATGGCGCGGCCGCGGGTCATTTGCGGGCACTCGGGGCCTTTGGCGCAGCAGCATACCATGCGTTGGAAGGAGTATGTGCACATTCTGAGGAGTGGGAGCTGGTGTTTTTGGTGGAGAGAGATTAAAGGGGGGTTGGATCGTTCAACAGTACAGTTTTGGTATTTTTATTCAGGTTTTGGGATGGGATGGATGGCTGCTTGTATATATGAGAATTGCCGGGCCCGTTACACCTCGTCCGGCTCCGCAAACCCCAAAGGGTGGTCTGTTTGTCCAACTCCCGTTGTACCATGCGGCGAGCCGTAACCAGCGACGGGGGTCGCGGGACAAAGTGCAAACACGGTCCTTGGGAACTCGAGATAGACGAGACGGGTCAGTATCGCGAGTGCGACTAACACGGTAACCATTGCTTCTCTCTCTGCTATCTCTCTCTCTAATCCATCTGATCAACAGTCGTGGCATCGCCGTTCCGTCCCCCAGGCGCACCAGCAATCTCCTTATCCTTCTCACCAACAGGATATCTCCACCCAAATGAATCCTCCGCTCTGCCAAGCTGAATGTCCTTCAGGTGCGTGAGCAGCTTCTCAAACAGCGGCCCAGGCTCTTCCCTCCCATCCTCGATATACGTGACAACATCCTCCCCTCCCCCAACACGTCGCGTAATACTCCTAATCGGCACCAGCGCCGCCGCAGTGCCCGCTGCAAAAACCTCTGTAAACTCCTTGAGCTCCTCATACTTGATCGCCCTCTTCTCCACGGCCCAGCCGTAGCTGCGCGCCAGCTCCTGGATGCTATCGCTCGTGACACTCTCGATAACGCACTTGGAGTCCGGCACCGCGAGGGTGACCTGTCCCCCGTTGTCCTTGACGCCGATGAAGCCACTCGTGCTGAACTCGTCAATCTCTTCGTGGCGCACACTGTCCAGGTGCAGCGTGATACCGTAGCCCTCGTCACGCGCCTTGTCGCTCCATCGCAGCACAGGAGCGTAGTTGCCACCAACCTTTGCATTGCCCGTGCCATTCGGCGCCGCGCGATCAAAGTCCTCGAGAATAAGCGCTTTGACTGGATGAGCGCCGTGGTAGACACCCGTAGGAATGACAAACACCGCAAAGATATACTCATCCGGCGGCGAGAGACCGAGCTGAGCGCTTGAACCATACAACTGCGGGCGGATATACAGCGCAGCCCCAGTGTCGTGAGGAGGAACGTATTCAGCGTTCAAAGCGACAGCAGCGCGCACGGCGTCGAGGAACAGCTCTTCGGGGACGTGGGGCATTGACACGACTTCCGCAGAGTGCTGAAGACGCTTAGCGTTTCGGTTGGGTCGGAAGATGGTGATTGCTTCGTCATTGGGAGTTCGGAAGGCCTTGAGACCTTCGTAGGCTTGTTGGCCGTAGTTGAGAGCTGGCGCCATGCCGTGGATGCGCATGAAGGGATCGGCGACGAAGTGAAGAGGAGTCCATTTTCCTGTGCTTCGACTGTAGGTAGATTCAATGTGTCCATTGACTGCAATTGTCAATATATAAACTGGCTTCAATGTAGTCAATTGGGCAGGGAGCTAACCTTCGCGGACCTTGAAGCCCACGTTGGACCAGTCAATGGTGTTAACAGGCGGAGGAGGAAACGCAGTCATGATTGCGATACACAGAAGCTACTTCAACAGTCAACGTACGTCCAATTCAGCCTCTTTTATAACCTGGGCTCAAGCCCACTTACGTTTATTTATAAGCTCTCAGTAAGTCGTAGTAAGAACCAGAAGATGCTTTCACATCGACACTAAATTCCTCTGACTCCCAATAAGAATTATCTGGGCCGATGTCGCAAGGCGCGGGGTGCCTCTGCGGCAGTTTATTTTTGGCTGTTTTCAGGGCGCATAATTCGCTGCTGAGCTGCTGGAATTCACCGGTGTGATGTCATTTCATACGTGGGCGGGAAACGGAAAACGGTTGGAACGGGAATTAACGTTTGTTGAGAGTCAAAGGCATTGGGTGTCGGAAACGGCGGGAGGCGTAGTAGCAATTGGGATGGATGAGGTTATATCCTTCTATTCATTTTCTATATCGTGGCCTGTATGACAGCAGACTCGCCTCCATCTGTTGAGATGACCCATGTAAAAAGAAATACGAATGAGAGTAGAGTGTGTAAGAAACCATTTACTCGCGAGAGTCCCTAATAATGAAACCATTCCTCATTGTAGCCCATGCCCATCATAACGACTCTAACGAAACAACTATAAAAATGCAAATCATATGGAACTACTCTTTTGGTGTCGTCGAGTTGCTGGACGTGACGATCGTTTTAATTCCCCTGCGCCCGCTGACCCAACGCCAACGGCACAAAGACAAATGCAATAACACGCAATAATTCCACAATAAACCTGTAGTCAGGACGAGCTGAGAGAAGCGAGACGCTGGAGACAAGAGAGGACGCCTGCAGAAAGTAAGTTAGTATAAGGTACTGCTCAACACGGATCTGTCGGGAACGGAGACGTACCACTGACACCCTGCGTAAGGGTGGCTGTTGCTTCGGTGTTGCGGTTACCAAGACTGACTGTAACAACATTCTGTACTGATCCGTCTTCCTGGAGTCTGTTTGCCCACTTAAAGACCTTCTCATCCTCTCGTCCATCACCGATGACCATCAAAAAGTCAACGGGCGTCTTGTGCTCCTGCGTAGAGCTCATCTCCGTCTTCAGAGTCTCAAACACCTTCCTGGCAGCGGTTCGCTTGGTCCAATCTATGGGCTCAACGGCGATACACCCGTCTAGGGCAATAGCATGGACGCGCTGAGACTCGCAGGCATCATTGACGTGACTGGCGCAATCTGAAGCCTGTCGTGAAGCGGACTCATAGTCCTCCGCACTCTTGTAGTGGAAGATCAGACTGCAGCGACGCTCCTCGATCTCAGCACCGGGGGTACGCTCGAGGTAGTATGTCATGATAGGCCGGACTGACTCCTTCCAATCCTTGACGTGGTCGAGATCAGCCATCTCAGTCCACTTTTCGTTGCCGTGGACCTTGAGAAAGCATCCATTCTCAGCAATCAGGCCCAGATTGGGAACTCGGCGGAAGACTCTATCGAGCTCCTCAGGTCGTCGGCCAGACATGACGTAGACTGTGTTGCGCTCGTCAAGAAGTAGGTCATTCAATACATCAAGAGTTCGTTGGGGGCTGATGGGAATGATCTGGTTGACAGGGCCCCAAGCTACCAGGGTACCCTCATAGTCAATGATAAATAGTCGACGATTCGCGTTCTGGTATTTGTTGGAAAGGGCGGGAATCGATAACCGAGGAACAGATGTCTGATCGCGCTTGTGTTGCTCCTCATACACGATATCCAGGCGGCCAAGGAACTCGGTGAACCAATGAGAGCCGGTGTGGCTGTTGACACGTTTGTATAGATTTTCCCATCGTCTATCCTTCTCTTCCTCGCCCATTTCCAAAGCCTGCTTGATAGCATCGGCGCATTGTCGGTAATCCCAAGGGTTCACAGCAAGTTCATTCTTGGCGAAGAGGGAAGAAGTTCCCGTGAATTCGGAGAGGATCAGAGAACCGTGCTTCTTCTCTGGCAATAGCTTTCCATCTTGGCAGAAAAGATATTCGTGGGAGGTCAAGTTCATACCCTCACGTTGACTGGTAATCATGAGCGCATCGGCAATGGTCAAGAGAGCAAGGTACTGAGCGTAGTCAATGTCTTGCTTCAGGTATACAACTGGCTGATACGCCAGGTTAGCCCACGATGAGTTGACTCTGGTCACAATGTCGCTAACGGTGGCCTCGAGATCACTCTTTTCGTTGGATGAAAGGGCGACTTGGATGAGAACGGCGTTCTCGCGCCACTCAGGGTTCTTGTTGAGGAAGAGTTCGTAGGAAAGAAGCTTCTGACGAACACCACGGACGTGGTCAAGCTTGTCACGAGCAACAATGAGCTTCTTGCCCTTGTATCGCTCCTGCAGGACCTGCAGCCACTTTGCAACATCTGGGGCGTCAAGATGCTCACGAAGACTGACAGGATCGATACCAATGGCAAGATGAATGACATCAATAAATCGATCTTCAAGCTGAAGACCATCCGGTGTAGCCTCGGCACTCAAGATGCGACTGCAAGTCTGGAGGAAATGACGTCCATACTCGTGAATTTGGAAGCCAACGAGATTGGCGCCCAGCATACCCTCTAGAAGCTCTTTTCTGACAGCCAAGCATCGGAACACCTCAGATGAAGGGAAAGCGACGTGTAAGAAGAAGCCAATCTTGGCCTCAGGGAGCTTCTTGCGGACCATTCCAGGAACGAGAAGCAGATGATAATCATGAATCCAGATGACGTCACCTCGCTTCCAGTTCTTAACAATCTGGTCGGCAAAGGCCTGGTTAACGTTGACGTAGTATTTCCACGAATGGTCTTCGTAGGCCTTGCTCTTGGGGTTGTCGGGGATCTGGTAATGGAAAACAGGCCACAAGATGTGCTTGCAGAAATGAGCATAATGGCCATCAAAGTCCTTGTCGGAGCAAAAGACAGTCAGCATGTTGTGTTCATTCGCTAGAACAGCCTCAATGTCCTCTTTCTGCTGTGTGCCTTCGAGGGCATCAGTGGGCATACCGAGAGTGCCCACCCAGGTAATATCGTCAATCTTGCCATCACGAGCAGCGGCATCAGCAGCATTGCGAAGACCACCATTGCCCTGGTCGGCATTGACAACCATCCAGCCGGCTGATGCAAAGACTCGATCGTGGCTGTCGCTCCTAACTAGAAGTCTCGGTTGAAGAACTCCCTGACGACCAAGTTCACGGGCCTTTTGCATTGTTCGATTGTTTTCGGAGAGGGAAGCGGAGGGAGGAGGAGAGCTGGCGCGAGACTTGGGCTGGTTGGCGCGGCTGCCCCAGGTCTTTGCATGCTCAATGCTGGAGCTGGCGCCATGAGGAAATTGTATTCTGAATCCATCTTCGTTCGCGAACAAGTTGGAATCAGTCTCTTCGGTCGGTGTATGAGGAGGTGTTATATCCTCTTTCTGAAACAGACTCGGTTGGCGAGCTAGAGGCGCAGGTCGACCACCGGTTGGAGCAGCGGGTTTGGGGTTGAGAGGAAGAGT